TAAAAAAAAACATATAAATATATATATATATATATATATACATATATATATATATATATATATATATATATATATATATATATATATATTTATTTAATTATATATTCGATTTTCATCGACCATTTGTTCAATTACCTAAAGAAATTTTATCGAATATCAGAAAGAAATTAATTAAATAAACTCAATGTTTGATAAAAATAAAATATCCAGTTCCAATTGTAGTTTTAACAGAATGAATTAGCTGGCTTTAGCATGCGGTAAATAATGAAAAACATAAATAAAAATAATAAAAAACATAATTTATAATTTAGAGTAATTTATAACTTGAAAGCCCTCATTCTTGATATAAACTAAAAACTTTATCACTTAGGAAGTATATCTTAGCTTACTGAATACAAATTTGAAATTAAAGGTTCTACGTTTCTGCGGATACATTTGTGTTTCTATTACATCGCAAAACGACAATCTTTAAAACGATTATTGAGTACTTGTCTTCACTTTGAGGACTCTTCCTACTGTATTCATACTCGCTTACTAATTTTTATCGAATTTAGTTGAAATTTCTTTTTTATATTGAGAGTAATATATAAACTTACTTTATTAACCAAAATCTTGTTCTTATATAGCTAACAAAGTATTCTTGTCTCTCATGGTTTTTATATACTATTATGCAGCATCTTTTATTGAGATGCTTGCTTAGAACATTTGCATTTCTTTAGGTTTCATCATTTGAGTCTTAAAAGTCAATTATTCGCCAATGTAAAACAAATATGTTTCTATTTAAATGCAATGATTGCTATAAAGCAAAAACGCCTAAGTTGAAAGCTAAGCGATTGCCCCCATAGCTCAGGCAGTTAAACTTGTCTGTTCTAAAAGCCTGCTGGCAATCACTCAAAGACTCTAATACGCATATTGCAGAGCTATTGATAAATATTTTAGTATTTTATTATAAAAATCAAATGACTTGCTAAATGCCAAGGGGGTGAACAGCTGTAAAAGTGATAAATGTCAAAGGTAAATGAAAGTAACAGTTTCCGCCATGATGAAATGAAATGCAATGCAATGCAATGCAATGCGAATCGATGCGATGCGACGCGTTGCGTTGCGTTGCGTTGCGATGTGTTGCTATTCAACACATTTTCGCTGAAATTTTACTATGCGTCTTTTATTTTAGTATTTCTCTGCAGGTCCGTGGGCATTATCAAATAATTCAGATGTAATCTGTTTTAATCTCTCTGTTGTTTGTCTCTGTGTGTCTGTGTGTCTGTCTGTAAGTGTGTTTTTGTGAATTTGTGTGGAAATTCATCGGGAAAATGTTGCCACAGGTTGACTACTCGTATTACCCAGTGCATTTTACTAAACAGCATGCAGCATTAAATTCGTGACATCAGATACAAACACAGTCCTATCCCACACTGACACACACAGACTCATGCACACCTACACACAGTATTGCCGTTGCATTTGATAGAGTTGTCAAAAAATATTTGCTTTACATGCGTTTTTTTTGCGTGCGAATCCATTGCGAGGGCCGAAATATGCTTCTGATTAAATGCAGTCAAAGCGGCTTAGTGTAATGGACAAAACTAAACGGCAAAAAAGAAACTCTCTGTGTGCGGTGGCTTAAATTATAAAGTATAATTTGCCCATGAATTAAACATGCGCAACGATTATAAATACGTAATCAAATTTAATCCACTGTTGACCATTTCAATAAAGCTGTCAGATACAAGAAGAAGGTGAGTCTTGTGCATAAGGAAAACTACCTGAACCTTAGCCATTTTAAGAGTAATAATATGTATATATAACATAATCACAATTTCAAGTTTCCATAAAGAATAAATAAATATTCTTACTTATTTGGTCCATTCTAGTTCTTGTACTTATATTGAGAAATATTTGGAGATAGTTCAATTTACATATTCCTGATCTGTACATCTTGATCTTTAGAATACCTAAAATTTCATTGCCTGAAACTGAGTCTTTGTACTATTATTCCAGTAATAATTAAGCTATAATTCCATATAAATACGGCTACTCAGGGCTTCAGTCATTTCAGATCCACTTCTTGTTTAGCCTATGTTACAATCAGTTGTGCTCAAGTAAAAACGCAGTTATCTGCTAGTTACGTATATTTGGTCAGTTTTGTCGGTCTGAGTTTCCTTTAGATGGCTTTGATAATGCATGTTGAAATCCAATTTTATATATAAAATACAATAATGAATATATATTGAATATTTTCTCTATTCTACATCTCTCTGGCACAAATCCTTATCAGATGGAACAAATATGCTTACTTCTGTGGGTGGCCCGCAGGCTAAGCACTCAGTTTGGCTCAAGTGGGGCCCCCGCTGTCCTTGGGCCACCAAGTGCTATGCAAATTTGGTCAGTTTCGATGTCTGCTGCATTATTCATTCAGTGGAAGAGAAAAACACTTCGCACTTTGGCAGCTGCTTCGACTGCACCAACGCCTGCGGTCCATGTACTCAAGTTAATTAAGGTTTATTTTCCTTATGCGAAAGGGACACGAAAATGTCAGCTAAAAGCCAAAGACAAATCGTTGGCACTCTGATATACAGCGCGGTTGTTGGCCATCATTTATAAGCCCAGAGCAGCACTCATTTGTGTGCTACCGCGCAGCAGGTAATGAAGTTGCAGCAACACGACAGCTTGCCACATATGAATCCGTTAACGCTCACCAGAAGCTGCCAACTGCCAACTGGCAACTGGCAATGGCTACATGGATTTTGCTTAGCTTTTAGCCCAAATTGAAAACTTTTTCGTTAACTTTCCATCGTCCAGCCCAACATGCAGCCAAGTTGGCTTGGCACTGCCCAGGCCAAAGACAAATATGGACACTGAGCTTCTGACGCAGCTGGCACAGAGACATCGGCACAAAGCCGTTTTCGACCATTTATCAGTTCTATGTTATTGGTCCAACACGAAAAAATAAAACACAATATAAATGCTGCTCTCTACGTCAAGCCAAGACCAAATACCCTTATCACACAGAGTTGAATTTTGAGTTTTTCTTTTGTAAAGCAGAATGATTGTCGCCAAAGATCAAAATGATTAACGCATTGGTCCTTGATAAGAGTATGTTGAAGACTGGGTAGTCTGAGAATACCCTTCAACAGAAATATACTTAATTACATTTCTTCTTTTCTCTGAGATTTATGTATTGAAATTAGCTGACATATTTCTGTGTGGTTAAAGTAGCTCAGGGAACAAAGGGACACATTTTAAGCAAATACATATAAATAACAAATAACAAATACATAAAATAAATACTTATAAATACAAATACAAACAAATGCATATAGTTTCCGATTTAATAGAAGGAACAGTCACAGCAATGTGCCATGTGCGTTACATGTGCCTTGTCAAGCCTCTAATATTCTTTAGAAGAGTATTCCAAATGAGTGGAGGCAAAAGCAAAGCAAAGCAAAGGCAAAAGGCCAGCGACGAGAACAAATGCAATAAAATGCAATGTTTCTATTACGACGATTTACGTTCAACACACACTCACACACACACGCAAAGACACACTGCCTCGGTCCATGTGTGTTGTTGTCATGCTTTCAGGCATGCCACGCCCAGGCTACCCTGCTCAATTCCTCACTCTGAGCATTTCGCGAGTTGCAACATTTTTATTGCTTCGAACAAATTTTGGACGGCCAACCAAAATGTTAGTAAAGTTTCCTGGCTGGAACTGCTGGTCAGTCTGTTGTTGTTTTTGTTGTTGTCGTTATTGTTGTTGATGTTGTTTGTTAACTAGCGCAACTTAAGATAAGCTGTTGTTGTTGTTGTTGCTTCTGGCCACTCACATATGTTTTCTTTTGGCAATTTTAATTGCTGTTGAACTTGGTGTTGGCTACAACGGCAACAACATTAATGACACCAATTACAACAAATGCAATAACAACAACAACACCAACAAGACCAGCGCGGCGCGTGTGCCATATATTTGATTTAACTTGTTGGCGCTGAAAGTTTGCACAATATTTTGTTGCAGCGCACAAATAAATTTGTTTCGCCCTTTAAAAACTATTGTGGGAATTTAGAGATTTGTGGCGCACATTGTTGCAGCAACACAAATGCACGTACACACACCCATACACCCATCCACACACACACATGCAATAAACTTCGATTTATAGCTTAGTGGAAATAATATGATATCCATTGCTTTCTTTTTTCCTTCTCAGAAACTCAGAAAAAAATATAAATATAAATCAAAGCCTAATAGTACTTAAAGCACCTAAACAAAGAGCAAAACTGAATTAAAAATGTATTCTTAAGCAATATTTATCTATTTTTCCATTTGTCTTCCTAGCTCCGAAATTAAATCTACAATTGCACAATTTAACGCAATGAACAAATTTAAAAAATATAACAAATAAATGAAAAAAGAAAGAATACAAATTTGTATTTAAGATCACAGATTTAAGCAAATGATTGATTGGATTTTTGCTTCATACCATTATATATATATATATATTTATATATATATATATATATATATATATATATATTTATATATATATATATTTATATATATATACATATATATATATCTATATATATATATATATATATATATATATATATATATATTGACACTATATGATATTTATATTTACAATAAAAATAACAAGGATCAATTTTTCGCATGCCTCCAATAACAACCACAACCAAAAACTTCTGGATTACCTAAAATGGAGTTAGACTAGGATAGACAGACAGCAACTCGACTGTTGTCCACGATCAATAATTCTGCTGATTCTGATATATATTCTGTGGTGCCACAAGTTTCATTTTACCTGTTTTCATATGTAGCAAAAGTATGAATCCTTGAATTAGCATTTTCAATTTTCAATCAATCAATTTCTATAATTTCAGGTTATTTCCCCAGCAGCAGCTTCGATTCTAAAATTTCAATATATTTGAATGACTTCATACCGAATCAATTGTTTGAGAAAAATGTGTTTCATTTCGTTTGCTTGTTATGTTCACACAATTTTATTCATTCAAAAATTAATATTCATACATTTGAAAGATTAAGTTGAAGAAAAATAAAATACTTTGTATTTTATATATGTGTCAGATTTGTTTCTAATGACTCTATGGCTTTCAACAACCAGTCATGGAAGTATGCAACATTGGCGTATACTCCTGGTTGTTTTACAGGTTTAGTACAGTCAGAGCCCCAAGAGACAATGCCAACAAGTTCACCATTAGATACCAGGGGTCCGCCACAATCTCCCCAGCACGCATCTTTCCAACGTTCCAAGGCGCAGATCATATCTTTAAAAAGGCCCCGAGGAGTATAGTACTTTTTACATTGCTCATAACTCACAATTTTGAGATCCACTCCATGCAAATAGTCAGGAATTAAATATCCCGTATAGCCCCAGCCTGACACATAAGCAGGTGCTTCATTTGGGGGACTCTGTGTCGCCAAGCGAATCGGTTGCACTAAAGTTCCCAGCTCAAGTGGTTCAGCCAGCCGAACCACAGCTATGTCATTTTCCAAGGTTATCCTATAGTAGTGTTCGTGGAGCCAAATGGAATCCACCGCAATAAACTGGCCACCCTCATATGCGTTCGAAGAACCTGCTCGTACTGAATACTGTCTTACTTTTTTATCAGAAACACAATGGGCTGCAGTTATGACGATATTTGGGCTGTAAATGGAGCCACCACAACGATTACGGTCGAGTCTCCGCAATGCAACTTGCCAGGGCACCAGTGCTATGTCAATTTCTTGTCCATTTACAATTCGCGATCCAACCCTTTTCGAAAACAGTTCCCGAGCACTCAGGAGCGAAGCCGTCGTGAGCAGCAGGGCTAGTAGTGCCAAGTACATCGCCATGTTGTGGTAAGTTGAAGTAGAAAACTTACGGTTTTATAGCAACATTGCAGGGCTTTATCGGAAATTACCTTTCATAATCAGAAAAACTCCATTAGAACCCTCTACTAATTTGGTAGATATAATTTAATTTATGTATATTTTGTTTATCAATATTTGTTAATTAGGAAGTCTCTGCTCTGAGAATATTTGCAGAAAGTTGTCATTGATAAGTTCATTTGTGGTTTGCAGTTGTTGAAGAATATACGATAATTTAACAATGGTGGTGTTAGCTAAATACCTCGACACTAACTAAAAAACCGATTTGTACTATTACATATGCCTCTTATAAAACAAATCGATTAAATAGTAATTGGCTTACATGCTTTTCTTCTCGAGGTCAACAAGCTCTCAAGCTCCCTAGTTGGGAATAGTCGTCTGAGAAATACCAAAACTCGTCCATCATATCTAATATGAGTCTCTATTTATTTTGGAACGAGATAATCCAAACATGGAACATATAAAACGAATTGGTTGTCTCAAGCTCTCACAGTTAATAATAATTGAAACACATATTTATACCCTGAATCCATTAAAAATTGGTAATCAAGCTATAATGGTTTTGTTAACATGAATGTTACAAGCAGAAGGACGTGTGGCAGAAATCATAAAGTATAAAAATTCCGAGTCGATTTAGCCCTCCGTCTACCCGTCCCTCGTCTGTCCGTCCCTCCGACTATTCGTTATATTCGTTGTGTAAACACGAGCGGAAAAATCGATATTTTCTTATAGGTCCGTGTATAGCGCACACATATCAATTTTTATTCAAGCTTTATTGTTATCGATTAAAATCATGATCGAAATGCAGTTAGTAAAATATATCTCATACGGCTGAATAGCTAGAGTCTCCAAATTTTGTATTTAGTTTTATGTATATTTTATGCAATTTTAGTTTTTGTTGGATTTTGGATACCGGCTCCAAATCTCCCCAAGTTCTTAAAATTGAAGTTCAGCGGAAAATAGGGCCATTATGTGAAGGCGTTTGCATCTCAACCAAGCCAATAGGATATGTAGATCATATGCTGAAAGTTTCATTAAAATCCATTAAGTGAAACAGAAGTTATTAAACAAAACGTTTGGACAATTTGCAAAAGCAGATGTCAAGCAGCGCCACGCCCACGCATTTTTCCTATGCGTGTGCACACATACATTCAAATGCGTGTATTCTTTTCTATTCCAAGAATTGAAATTGCGATTGAATTGTGCTTGAATTAACAGCTGCTACTTAAGTTCAAATTTGTTATTTGTTTTTTATTTTTGAATACTGTTTACAAACTACGAAAAATATAAAAAACGCTGATAGGACTGGGATCAGGATATCTCCTAGTCGGGCACCCCGAATAGAGCTTTCTTGCTGGTTATATATGTTTCAGATTTGCTTCTGATGACTCTATGGTTTTCAGCAACCAGTCATGGAAGAATGCAACATTGGCGTATACTCCTGGGTATTTTGGCTCTTTACAGTCAGAGCCCCAAGAGACAATGCCAACAAGTTCACCATTAGATACCAGGGGTCCGCCAGAATCTCCCTGGCATGCATCTTTCGAATCTCCGAAGGCGCAGATCATACCTTCAAAAATTAACTCAGCATCAAGGGACTTACATTGCTCATAACCCACAATTTTCAGATCCACACCATTCAAATGGTCTGGGTTTTCATATCCCGTATAGCCATAGCCTGACACATAAGCAGGTGCTTCATTTGGGGGACTCTGTGTCGCCAAGCGAATCGGTTGCACTAACGTTCCCAGCTCAAGTGGTTCAGCCAGCCAAACTACAGCGATGTCATTCTCCTTGGTATTCCAAGAGAAGTGTTCGTGGACCAGAATGGAATCCAATGCAATTACCTGGCCACCCTCATTTGCGTTTGAAGAACCTGCTCGTACTGAAAAATGTACTATTTTATCATTAATACAATGGGCTGCAGTTATGACGATATTTGCGCTGTAAATGGAGCCACCACAATGAGGACGGTTGAGTTTCAACAACGCAACTTGCCAGGGCACCGCTGATATGTCAATTTCTTGTCCATTTACAATTCGCGATCCAACCCTTTTCGAAAACAGTTTCCCAGCACCCAGGAGCGAAGCTGTCGTGAGCAGCAGGACTAGTAGTGCCAAGTACATCGCAATGTTGTGGTAAGTTGAAATAGAAAACTTACGGTTTTATAGGAAATTCTGGATTGCAGGTTCCATTGGAAGCATTGCAGGGCTTTATCAAAAATTACCTTTCATAATCAGAAAAACTCCATTAGAACCCTCTACTAGTTTGGTAGATATAATTTAATTTATGTATATTTTGTTTATCAATATTTGTTAATTAGGAAGTCTCTGCTCTGAGAATATTTGCAGAAAGTTGTCACTGATAAGTTCATTTGTGGTTTGCAGTTGTTGAAGAATATACTTGGTATCGATACTTGGTATCGTTACTTGTTATCGATACTTGGTATCGATTCTTGGTATCGATACTTGGTATAGATACATGGTATCGATACTTGGTATAGATACGTGGTATCGCACCTTGGTATCGATATTTGGTATCGATACTTAGTATCGATGCTTAGTTACGTGTAGCCCGGCCTCGTAAGTGATGAAGAACGGCTTCTAGCAGACATTTTATTGTTCATTATTTGCAATTGGCGTTGTTTATTGTTAGATGAACTCGCAATTGAAATACTCTCTTTCATGTCTGGTAGCTCGAGATGTGCTATGTGCTGAAGATCAGATCTTTATCTAGTATAATGAGGGTGCTGGGCAGAGACATTTGGTTAATTGAATGCGCATAAACAAAGGCTGACAACGACGTAAAGATCGGTTCGTTATTACATCCCACTGCTCTTCAGATGTTCCTTGCCATCCGATACAGAAGCGATACAAAAGCGATACTAAGTATCGATAACGATACTTGGGCAAATGTGTTCTGCTTGTTGAAGCTGACGTGGCAGCCAGTATACAATATACAGTATATATTAAATCAAGTTTGTCTGTTTGTTCGCTGTGCCAATTACAAATGTTAGAGAAAGTAATATTCTTCTATATCGCATTCGACACAGTACAACCATATATGGAAACAAGTTAGAAAGCAATAGTTGGAGTGACCGACTAGGAGATTACTTGAACCCTGACCGATTTGCGTTTTCTTCATAGCTCGCATCTATACCAAATTTGTAAAATAAATTTTAAAAAATTCCGTCGTGAGCAAAGGCCGAACTGCGAACTTCTCTACCAACATCGCCACTGTACTCCTTGATCGATCAGTGGCAAATGTAAATTCAAGTATCAGGTGGCAATTCAAACACAATTTAATTGCAACTTCGATTCATCGAGTAGAAATAAATGCACTCATTCGAATGTATAGGACAAATGTGTGCGCTTGGCGCTGCTTGCCACGTGCTTGTGCCAATGAGCCAAAAGCTTGGTTTAAAACCGTTACTTAACGGATTTCAATGCAACTTTTAGCATGTGATTTACATATGCTATTGGAGTACATGTCAGCCTAGTAAAGCCGTAAGCTACTATACATATTGGCAGTATCTGCAACTAAACTTAAATTGAACGGATTTTGAGAAATTTTGAGTCGATATCTAAAATTCATCAAAAACCAAAATTGCATAAAATATACATAAAACTAATACAAAATTTGGAGGCTCTAGCTCTTCAGCCGTATGAGATATATTTTAATAACTGCATTTCGATCATAATCGATAACAATAAAGAGGGAATAAAAAATAAAATAAAAAAAAAATAAAATAAAAATAAAATTATTAACTGTGAGAGCTTGAGACAACCAATTCGTTTTATATGTTCCATGTTTGGATTATCTCGTTCCAAAATAAATAGAGACTCATATTAGATATGATGGACGAGTTTTGGTATTTCTCAGACGACTATTCCCAACTAGGGAGCTTGAGAGCTTGTTGACCTCGAGAAGAAAAGCATGTAAGCCAATTACTATTTAATCGATTTGTTTTATAAGAGGCATATGTAATAGTACAAATCGGTTTTTTAGTTAGTGTCGAGGTATTTAGCTAACACCACCATTGTTAAATTATCGTATATTCTTCAACAACTGCAAACCACAAATGAACTTATCAATGACAACTTTCTGCAAATATTCTCAGAGCAGAGACTTCCTAATTAACAAATATTGATAAACAAAATATACATAAATTAAATTATATCTACCAAATTAGTAGAGGGTTCTAATGGAGTTTTTCTGATTATGAAAGGTAATTTCCGATAAAGCCCTGCAATGTTGCTATAAAACCGTAAGTTTTCTACTTCAACTTACCACAACATGGCGATGTACTTGGCACTACTAGCCCTGCTGCTCACGACGGCTTCGCTCCTGAGTGCTCGGGAACTGTTTTCGAAAAGGGTTGGATCGCGAATTGTAAATGGACAAGAAATTGACATAGCACTGGTGCCCTGGCAAGTTGCATTGCTGAAACTCGACCGTCCTCATTGTGGTGGCTCCATTTACAGCGCAAATATCGTCATAACTGCAGCCCATTGTATTGATGATAAAACAGTAAGACACTATTCAGTACGAGCAGGTTCTTCAAACGCATATGAGGGTGGCCAGTTTATTGCGGTGGATTCCATTCGGCTCCACGAACACTTCTCTAGGAAAACCTTGGAAAATGACATAGCTGTGGTTCGGCTGGCTGAACCACTTGAGCTGGGAACTTTAGTGCAACCGATTCGCTTGGCGACACAGAGTCCCCCAAATGAAGCACCTGCTCATGTGTCAGACCTTGACTTTACGGGATTTGAATTTCCAGAATATATAATGGAAATGGATCTCAAAATTGTGGGATATGAGCAATGTAAAAAGTACTATAAAGCTCGGTTACTTTTTAAAGATATGATCTGCGCCTTCGAAGGTTCGAAAGGTGCATACGGGAGAGATTCTGGAGGACCCCTGCTATCTAATGGTGAACTTGATGGCATTGTCTCTTGGGT